TTTTAAACCCAAACTTCTTAAGTCCTATGTTTTAGGAAAACTGTCTTGTGAATACAGATTTCATGATTTGAACCATGAATTATTCAAATTAAGGATGCTTTTAGGTGTGGTCCACTTGAGATAAATCCATTAGCCACATGGAAGCATAATTGATGTACAGCCCAGAACTATTTTCTCCTGTAAATTACAGCTTTTTAAAAAACAGGAATCTGCCTATATATACATGATCAAGGGCAGGTCAAGTCTGAGGTATGTTCTGTAAGTTACCACGATTTATAGACCTGTGTTATGGTTAGATTGACAAAAAAAACCTACCAGTTTATTTTATTTGATGTTACCTCTGATCAAATATGCTGAAATATTGGATGTGATCAGTTACGTACAGTAGATTTGCCTTGCCCTCAATTTGTAGCATATATTTCTATAAATATATACAAATATCCTTGAAGTGCTTGAGGAATAATATCTCATTCTGAGGTTTAACAGTCTAATTGAAGAAACATATATTCACGGGTGAGTTACTACAAGCATAACAGCAAACAAGAGCCATGTCTTTTTGCATGATATCTATCCTTTTGTTGTTTCACTAACTGTATCCATTTATGCCCTGTTGTAACATGTACATACTCAATTACCTTTTAGTACTGGAGTCTCTTCTCTGCCAGGCATTGCCTATAGGATGGTTGCTTAGCAACCAGCGCGTATTGCTTGCTTGCCTGTGCTTTTACACACACTTAGTAATTTACTAATGTGAACTTTGGACCATTTGCATTTTAACCTATCTTCGATGGTAATTCACTCAGTTGTTGTGTTTCCCTGTGCACAAATTAACCAGAATACTGGTAAATCCCTTGCATCATACAATATATCGACAAAACAGGCTAGTGATCAGTGAGTACAGCAGTTAGCCCCAAGCTCATCAGTCAGTTTTGACAGCGAGACATGTCCCTTGTTTACATTTAATCAAGTGAAATGTGGGGCAAGATTGTGTATTTCATTTAACATAAACAGGGATGATATCATAGGATGGCAGCATACTGACAGTTTCGTATAGCCTGTGCAGACTATAACAAATCTCATTTAATGAAACATTGCTTAAAAAGTAATTTTTTTAAAACATAGGCATACACACTTGAAATGATAATTGTTTCAAGAAATATTGTAAAAAGGAACTAATTTTAATGAGGTCAATCAAGGTATGTTTAGTGTCGGATTTGATAACAGTTTGCCAAGTATTATGTACGTTAATAGGCCCCACTTTACCGTATATGCTTTTCGTATGATACAACGCTTGACATTAACAGCGAACCCAGTTTTTTTATCAAGATTTAGTTTGAAAGGATGTTATGCAATTATATGTTTTACTACATGACGTTTGAATACCGTATATGATGTTTCATTATACAACGATGGCTATATCACTTCATGACATTTTGTTGTATGATTTTTCGTTTATCTGATGTTCACACTAAATAAATACAAATTACGTATTGTATCCAGTTCTCACATAGTTGTACAATTTCTTTTGCTAGTCTAAACTGGGGTTTAGTTTTTACCACCCTTGTCATGTCAAAGCCTGATCAGTCTAACTCTATTTTCTTGTTTGTCCTAAGACGTTGCATCATCTCCCTTTCTGATTTTATGAATTTCAACACCCCTGAGTGATTACATTAAGCCCACGAATGACAGTGAACTAATTCCCGGCACTCCATCACATCTATCGTCAACCATTTCTGAGATGAATCTCACCATCCTTGCCATCCAGCACATCCAAAGATATGTTCACATGGAATCCTACATTTGGGAAGCCTTAAAGTCTTAAACATTAACCTTCTAACAATGATGCAGGTTCACACAGGACTGAAACGATAAATGTTCAAAGTTAAAACTGTGAGCAAGGTATAGTCATTGTAATTACAGGCTGGGGAAAAGTAGAAGTTAATTGCATTTGCACGGCACATACCTTTGAGCAAGGAATCCCCTCTGCTTGGAGTTTTCATGTTAACTACTGGATCACCGGTGGTTTAAACTTTAAAACTTTAAGCAAACGTAGAGTTTCGTAACTACAAGTGCGTCCACACAGTCCTCAAATACAACATAACCCAAAGTTTAAAACCATAAGCTAAACGTAAAGTTTATGGGGTCTTGTGTGAACCTAGATCTTTACACTGTTTAAATATTCCTTCTCTCTTGGTGTTCAAATACCCAGGAACACTGCTGAGCTGGATAAGTGGATATATATATCTTTCTGTTTGGTTTTGTAAAGTGAGGATCTTTTATGGATATATGTGAAGAAGATAGAAGTTATGCACTGGCAGTAGGTGATAGGCTTAAAGAATTAATTCTGTAATGCCAGCCATGCTAAAGCCGGGGTATTTATATTGGAGCGCCAGGAATGGAAATGTGCCAGACATGAGCGTTATACAAGACTCCATTTATAACAAAAAATTATAATTATCTCCAGCCAGCACCTGACATTCATTTATTTCAAATATAATACTATCTTAACAGGCCTATATTTAACGTGTAGGTAGGTATAAAATGTATATATTTTTCTTCTTTAACTGAACTCACAGTTAAACTTATATCACTTACTATCTTCACATGAAGGAAACATGTAAACAGAAAAATTGATAGGAGTAAATGATGGTAAATATGTATCATATTATTTTTCATTAGGTAACTGCAAAAACAGTTACGATTTACAGCCTGGATATGCCCATCAAGTTCAACCTCGAGCTTGCAATTCAATATTTGAGTGTGCATATGGTGGACTGGTAAATTGATCCATTCCCAAGGCAAACTCGGAGGTATATGTATATGCCTCTGATACTGGCAGGCAAATGACAGGACATCTCATCGAGACATTGGTTGGTCCTTGTGCATATATACATGCAATTACAAGTCTATTTTTATGAAGGTTGTCACGGCATTGAGTCACAGCCAGGCTTAAAAATGGTATGAAATTTGAGTAGTGAACAAACTGATAGGTTTCGAAGAGATTTATTAAAAAACATGTGGTGCACTGTAACTTCTATTTTATTGATTGGTATTGTAGAGTTATCCCTGCTTCTCTTTCCTTCCTTCTACTTTTCCCTTCATCTTGGTTTTTGCCATTGCTCTTCATTAAGAAAAAAAAAAGAAAAAAAGAAAAAAAATCATCAAATATATAGCTTTCAATAGTGGTTGGAAAGTACATGTAGGTCTGATTAGATCAGGTACGGAAGTAGATCCGATTATTTTGCAAAATGCACTTTTCCTGAATACTGCACTTTTTGCAGAAGCACCTTTTAAACTACCGGTACCTTTTATGTTTAGAACATGTATGAGATGATTATCTGATCAAGATCTAAACAAAAAAAAATTGACACAAAATTGTTAAACAAGGCAAATTCATTTAAAACTTCTTAGATTATTAATGATTACTGGTAGATAATTTTGTTACATACTCGACTAATGTTATTACAGTATAACCAAAGTTGTTGTGAATGAAGTCATATCTGATATGTTTTATGCAATGCTTGCACATTTTTCAATTTTTTTCAATTTCAATTTATTTGCTCATAAAAATCCAGAAAACACATGCAAACATTCATAAATCAACATGATACAAAGGTTAAAATTCACAAGAAAAATTAATAACAAAGTATACATTTGGATTAAGTATGAGAGGTACAGCAAGAAAGGAACAAGCCTTGTGATTAGCTGACCCTGTAACATAATACATTAAGGACGCTACAAAAAATAACAAATCACTTACAACAACATAAAGGGGGGGGGGGGTATGCCTATACATGTACATGTATTGTCTTTTGAAAATAACATTTGTTGGATGGCAATTAATTGAGGTATCGTCATGATAACACTTTTCTTTAAACTTGATTTATACATTTTTTTAAAAACAGGTTTTAATTTTCTAATGGGTGGAAATCTAAAAAAACAACCACTTATTCAAAAATACAGTTACCGGTATCTTCTTTCAAAACAGTAATTGTGTCTGAAACGTTCTTTTCTGCTTGAATAATAAATGAAATATACTCTGAATCCTGAGAGCTTGTAGCTAGGATACTATTGTTTCCTGCACTTTCTTTTGATAAAGAAATACCATATAACTTGTGGCCTTTAGTACATGTAAGTGTATATGTAGACAGCTCACGCAAGCATACAAAGCAGTAATACTCAATGAGTAATATTGCAATTTACTAGTGTGTATGTGGAAGCAACCTTGCTTGATTAAAGGCCTTTTGTTATTTACTAGGTATTATCTTAAGCAAAATTGTATTATTTAAATTGTGACGTGTTGCAAGAGAAAATGCATAAATATGTCCATCTTACTATTTAAACATTTATATGGTTTTCTGATCACATTCCTGGTCACATGCTATACAAAACAGTTGCATACACTTTCAAATGGCATTCATTGGATTCTTGACCCCATCTTCTTCTTCTTCTTCTTAATCATCATCATCATCATCATCATCATCATCATCATCATCATCATCATCATCATCATCATCATCATCATCATCATCATCATCATCATCATCATCATCATCATCATCATCATTTATTACAGTCAACATTTTCCCTCTTATGAGGGGTTACTGACTGTGGGGCCATGATGACACTCTCTCCCCCCACTTCATCTTGTCTCAAGCATTCTCTCTTCATTTAATAGACCAACCTTACTGCTTTCTTTCTTCATCATATATTCCCATGAAATCTTCAGTCTTCCTGAAAACTCAAACCTTATTGAATTATTGTTAAAAAACATAGCCTATCCAAATTTCGAATAAATGAAGCAATCAAAGTGTCAAGAAAGGCTCAACAAATCTGTATTCTCTGTGCCTACATGTTTATTGACATTGATTGTTTATTTTTGATTTTTTGTCTTGGTTAAGAGAGGGGGGGGGGGGGGGGCGGGACCTGTCAGCATCAAGTTTGGCTAATATCAATAATCTTGATTTTTCTATCAATTTATCTATTTTTTTCCCTTGTAGATTGTGATGATGAAGACAATCGAGAACCTGAAGACAACATTGTGTTGGCTCACCAGGCCGCTGCGTCGGGCAACATTCCTCTCCTCATGGAGGCTTTTAATCAGGACCCAAGTGTGTTAGAGAGCTGTGATGAGAAAGGTAAGTTGCCATCTTTTTATTGTGGAAATACAGTGTATCAGCAGATTACAAGGTGATATATAAAGATGTTCTGTCAGATGTCTTCATGCAGAATCAAACAAGAGGTTTGTAGGGCTGAGTCTAGTAAAGTTGATATCATGATGATATTATGCTGTAGAGTGTTGCCATGGTATTCTATTCTCTATGCACTTAAGAATGTATAGAAAAGTTAAATGTAGGAAAATAGGAGCTGTTATTTGCATAACTGTAGCATTCTGCAAAAACGTATCTCAGATTATGTGAGAGTTGCCAGGGTATGCACAGAGTCAGATACACAAGGCTAGAGTGAGTTTCGATCATAGATAATGATAATGATAATATTGGGTATTTTATCTAGCTCTCGTATCCGCCATCAAGGGGCTGCAATATTAATAAAGGCTAAATTAAATATTTGATATCATCAAAACATCAACAACGTCAAAACAATGGTTGAAGGAGATTATTGCAGAATATTGAGAGAGCTCTGTTACAGACGTACATGTAAAGAACAAAAAAATCACTCGTCTTGTCCTTGAAAGCAATGGTGAAAATAGATTTTACTACCCAATATCCAAGTGTACCGAGCTGTAGAAAATATAAATGTCACGTCTCTTGTTCTCGGCAAAAAGCAACTTTAGAGGATATTTTATTCCAAGGATCCAAGCAGGAAGTTGTGGCCATGAAGGTAAATGTCATGGATTTGTTCTCACGGAATTGAAAGAAAAGAGCCGTTGCAGGAAAATTGCAGCAACTTCAGGTTGGAACTCATGTGTGAGAATATTTATACTTGTTCACATTAAGAATAGATAAGACGAAAATGAAAAGAACAGTAAAAAATAAAATTGAAGAAAAAGATTGACTTATAAAATAGGACTATCATTTTTAAACCTGGAAACTTGCAATAATTGTGCTTATTTCATGAAAGATTTTATATTTTGGGTATAAGGGAATGCTCCTCTTGAGCACAATTCAACTTAAAATGTACTTTAAATTTAAAATGCAGATAATGAATAGTAACAACAAGTAACCTATAAGGCTCTTTACAAAGAAAAGGTACTCCCCAAAACATATTATGAATTTAACCAAATTAATTGCTCTATTAAAGACATACATGTAAAGACATACAGCCATTTTACATCTTGTGTATTTTGTAAATGTTCTTTGAGAACACAAAAATCAAAAATCCACTATAGATTTTTTTTTAAAGATGAAGATTTGAAACCATTTTTCAACATTTCCTGAAAAAAATAGTCCACTTGCATTGACTATTTAACTGTCTGAATTTCCTCAACAGCATACAATAAAAAATTGTCAGTTTGAGCCAGGAGGGCGTTAGCTCATATACTTTTACAGAATTAACATCCTTCTGCCTCTCAACAGAAGAAATGAGCTTTAAGCCTTTAAGCCTTCTGAGCGGGTTTCCTAATTGAACAATGAACGCTGAATCATACGTTCTTGAATGCTAATGAAGCAGATGTTTACTACATTAGTACATGAATTATCATTTAGAAAACGAGTATGCCATCTTTGACGAGCATGAAGCTATTGTCAGGGGAATTCCAAGAGAAATTATGGAGTTTGATAGGAAAAGGTTTGATGCACTTTGAAATTGTACTTTCTCCTGGAGTCTAGCTCGTTGTGCTCTGTGGTGGCCATGTTTTCATGTTCTTCTACCTGAAATGAGTACCATGTTTGGTTTTAGGTAGAAATGTACTTTTCAGTAAACTGCCTGAATGCTCTTCTGAAAGGTTTATTACATAAACATGATCACAAAGGCAGTTTTGCAGTAATCAACTTAATAGGGCAATTTTGACATCTTATTGAATTACCTGTATAAATTGTATTAGGATTTCAATGTGTAATATGTCTGTCAAACTTTTCAGTATGGAATAGAATTGTTTGGATATTGAAAATTGCCTTAAGTTTTGTTTTAAAGCCTTTGTTATTGTGTTTATGGGGGAAATGAGAACTATTTGTTCATAAGGAAGTTTCAGAATGGTGAAATTATAGTAAATCACACAAACTTGCTGAATATAACATTTAACACAGGTGGTGAGATATGTACATGTATACACAAACATTTGGTTAATATCTCATAGCTAAGGCAATGCAAATAAACCATTTCTAGTTATATAACAGTGCAAGTATTTGGAGAGTAGTTGTTGTCATCCTTTTGATGTTGATGTTCTAATTCACATTCAAAGAAAAAGATGAAAAAAATGTATTTTTTAACGTTTGCCATTACTAGACACATTCCCCTACCAACTATCTAGGTGCGTATAATTGAAAATGAGAAAAAAATGATGCTTCTTACATGTATGTATTGTACCTTCCAGTGAGGAAATTTAATTTAAATAATTTTGTAAGCATGCTTACAAGACACATCTGTATTTCTTTGAGTGGGAGGATGATGGTTTCTAATACTGCTAACAAGCACTCTTTCCCTGTGAGAACTTAATTAGAATAGAAAGTGGGTTTGATAATGGATGCTAATTAGATATATTGTGGGAAGATGACAGAGTCTCATACTGTGGGTTGAAATGCTGCTGTGATAATGAACAGAATGGACAGAAGCTGACAAAGAGGCATATTGCGTGTACCGTTAAAGGGGAAGTCCACCCTGATATTAAGTTGGTTTAAATAGGAGCAGAAACATGAGAGAAACATGTCTGTGAAAGTTTTAGCAAAAACCGATTAAGAGTTAGAAGGTAATTAATTGTTGTACTGTAGGTGCAATCAAACACAAATTGGCAGCTCTGTGACATATCTTGCGTGCTCTACTCCCATTGGCCCTGCAGTAAATAATTATTTTTTTTTACTGCAAATAGCTTTTTATACAACCCCTGTATGAAATAAATTTATTACGTCATCTATAAGAAAATTGAAGTTTATGCAATTTTCTGTACAGAGCATATTGCAGAGGAGCTTGTAAGATACGTCACGGAGTTGCCAATTTGTGTCTCAGTGATGACAACTTCATAATTCATAACTTTCCTATTTTTAATCGGATATTGCACAAACCTTCACTAATTTGTTTCTCTCCATTTCTGCTTTTGTTGAAATCAACTTCATTTCAGGGTGGACTTTCCCTTTAATAGATGGGGCTTCATGCGTTTGTAGGCCCAAGGTCTAATATGAATAATTGTCGCTGTGGGTTGATTAAACGTCAGAATGATGTTCATTTGATTGAATGTACTTGTATAAGGAGAACGTCAGCCCTTAATTTATGCACATTTTTCTTTGAATGGCAGAAAATTAGGAAGCTTACATTTATGAGGTCAATGTAAAATTATATATTTTTTCTTCTAATAACAAGAAAAATGGTGACAATTAATAATCTGACTACAAGAAATTGGAAGCTTGGTCATTAGTTAGCGATGTCAGTTGTTCACCCATCATCATTTGATTATAATGTTACATATGGCTTAAGATGTACCATTTTGTTTCCAAGAAATTGTTTTTCTCAAATTTGCCCAGGTTATAATTGATGTACATGTACAAATGCATTCAAGCTCCTTTATTGGACATAGCCTACATGTACATGTTTTAATGAAAGTGCGAATGATTTGGTAATTTTATTTTGATCTGTATCTTTAGGGCATATACAGTGTACGTACATTCAGAAACATGTAATTAAAATCATGAGAAGTTGGCCAGGTAAGGGAGAGAAAGAAAGAGAGAGAGAGAGAGAGAGAGATGTGTTTAAAACCTCTTTCGTGGTTAAACCCCAGTCTGAGAAGTGAGTTTGGGTTACAAGTTAATTTATTAGCATAAACCACGCAAGCCACTTAATACTGTATTTGTTTTCGTTGAACAACTGTCACGAACTAAAGCAGTTGTTGCAGTAATCCATCCCCAGACAATTCTATAGATCTACAGTAGATATGAATGTGGTCACTTTTTCGAAAAGCTGACATGAACATGTCATGTTGTGGCTGGCAGAAGGTCGCTCTGTGCTGTTCTGCTAAATGCAGACATGCACTATTGCATGAAGCAGAATTAGGTCGTTGGTAAATGCATGTAACTTGGAAAATATGTGCTTATTTGATTAAAAAGCTACTAAAATGTTGTATAAAACCCATTTTCACCTTCTTTTTTTTTTATTAGTCGATGAATCTCTGTCATGTTTAAACAGTAAACAGTATGCATGTTTTAACTTTCAGATCTTATGGCATATTACACAATGATTAAAGTTTATTTCCAAAATCGGATTACAGTTCGGTCATAGACATACCCGACTTGTAGTATTTGTTGGGCATTAGACAAGATTTCTTTATATTTCATCATTACAGTGACATAATTTGCTATTGTGGTTTACCTTAAAGTTTATATTATAAATAAGTGAGTATATACATGTAATTCCTGTGTTACATAAGCTTAATTAGACAACTTATAACTCTAAACAAGTACCACACATTATTCAACTCCACGAACAGAGACTCTTAGTTCTGATATGACTGTCAGGATGCTTAAATTTCATAGAGCTTAGTTTAGATGCCTGTAATAATGTTGGATGAAGGGGCGTCTGTTCTTTGATAAACTCAGATCTTTTCTCAAGATTTAATATCCTCGGAGGATATTAAATTCTCTCTTTATTTGTTATGACAACCTGCAAAGTCCTTCTAAGCTCCAACACTGCGATATTTAATAACATTAAAGGTTACAGGCTACTATAGTATTAGTTGATAGATGCCTACTGTCTCATCTAAGTTGCGGCATTGCTTGCGCAATCGTGTTTGTTACATCTACATCTATTTAGATTTAGAGCATGTTTCTTGGTTATCAAAAATAATTGCTCTGTTATGTCTTGAATAATAATTTTGTGGGCCCATACACTACTTCAGCCATAGAACTACTCTTAATTCATTTGAAAGTATTTCCTTTACAAAATATTATCCTTCATTGACAGGAGTTATGGTTATTTGGAAGCGGCTGAGTCAATTGTCAAATTTTTGGTGAATGTAATTTGCTTGCTTTTCATCCCTATAGAATTCATATTGTCATTGAATGAGGAGGACAAGCCTGGGAATAATAACAATTGCATAGCGATGAGACAATTGCCTCAATCCCATTGACTACAAAAACAATATGACTAACACAATTGAAGCACATTAATGAAATCGAAAATCTGAATGATCTGTCTGATTGAGAAATTGTATTCCCTGGGTACATGTATTTTCAACCTCCTGTGTGTTAATTGTGTCACTGTCAGGCTTGTTCTGGCAATGTCGAGACTTTCAACCACCTAGTCTTATATCCAGGCAGATGTGGTCATTACCTCTCAAATTACAATGAAAATAAGTCAATTGAGTCTTGAGAATAAGAATTTGTCTTACCAACTTATCCGGTACAAAATGCTAGGAGAGACTTGTAATAAGAGCTAGGTCTTAGACTATAATCTTTATTAAAATCATTTTTATTGAAAGGGAAAAAGTCCCACCCATCTTGGAAACCAGACTAGCAGCAGATATGAATTCTTTAGGATCAATGGGGATCAGCAAATTTGATTTTACAATTTGTGCAACGTACCTCAGTCAGCCTTGAACAAGATTATGCTTTTAATCTATTAGACACACCTGTGAGTGTGTGACATGTTTTTCAGTATGCTCAGTTATACTGCCTTTATACATTGTAGTTGGACTGCCGAATCAAACGGTACATTGTTTTGATATAGAACAACTTTATGCGCAATCCTTAAAATAAAGTATTCATGAATGATTTTGTCTTAAATAGATTAAACAGTTGTGTGCTCAAAATTATTGTCAGATGGCTGCATTTTTTCACACAGAATTTTTTGACACAGAATTTTTAAGGTTGATTGTCCCTTTAATATAAACCACCTTAGCCTCCTGAGTTTGTCATTGTACATTGTTTATACATGCTGGAGTATGAGGCAATTATTCTGATGCTAGCATCACATGCACACTAATGACGATCCAATTTTCATAATTGCATCCATTATATATGACTGACCTTTAGCTCTTGTGTAGCTCAACGGTTGATTGCAATATCAGTCTTGTCGCCATGGGCTTTTTTATTGTTTCGCAGAATATTACTTTTGATAATTTTTGCTCTTTGTTTACCTGTAGTAACTGGATGATTCAGGCAGCTCATGTGAAACTCAATGTCCCATCAAAGTATGTTTATTAAATAAACAGCTTTCATATGATTTGCATAAAGTTTATACAGTGCACCTCATATTTGAGGCTTTGGTTTAGGAATTTATAATGAAGGTAAAAACATTGTAATGATAAAAGAGTATATATAGTGGTAATGTTCATGTAATGATATAAGTGTGTAAATTGTTAATGATCCAAAATATTTTGTTTGGATATATATGAGCTGTAATTATAAAGCATTGTTCTACAGTGATTGAAGTTATGTGCACATATCATACATAATCACTTTTCAGAATACTAGTCGTTTTCTAAATTATTCTATTGATTTGTACCAGATTTCTTTTTCATTTTGAGTGAGCTGTTTTGGAGCTTTTGAGAGCTACATGTAAGTTGCTCGGTGCTCCTGTGTATTTATTTCGCTGGTTCTTTGATTTTATAGAAGAGGGTGAGGCTACACTGTTGAAGCAATCTTAAAGTAGTCACCCGAACAATCAAAAGCATTTTGAATTGATGCAAAATTCATATCATTGTGAAGGGGAAGCCTTACTGATCAAATATAACAACTCCCCCTTAGGTGGTCCTCCGTAGAGCTTCAAGATGACGTTGCGTCACATGCAAGACAAAGCTAGCCACAAAGCATTTTGCGCCTTTCCATTATATCTATATGATTTTTCTGCAAATTATTGGTGCTTTTCAAGAGAATATATATCTTTCCGCAATATATAATTTGTCCATAATTATAAGTTGTCATGAATTTTCTTCGGGTGACTATACTTTAAGTGTTCACTCTATCTTTGTCAACTTTCCAACTCATCCAACACTCTGAAGGTTTACTTGTCAAAGGTAAAGACTAGTATTGGAAGCACCCCAATTTCAAAAAATGAAATGGAAGCTCTCATTACCAATCATGTGAAAGAATATGTTTTGACTAATACATAATGATAACAATTTTGCCGGGAAACCGCCTACTAATTGATATATTTGGTAAATTAGTTTATCCATTGGTGTGTGCGAGATAAACGCACGTGTCGCGCACGTAGTCCCATATTCATCTTTCTGTGTACAGTGCTTGTAACTTTACAAAGACTGGGCCAAATTTCTTATTATTTTGATGATTCCAGAACCTTGCAGTGCACACCAATACTGCTAGATGATCAACCTTTTCTGATCGATTCCACAACGTTTCTTTCACAATGCAATCGCATGACCATAACTGGTCTTTATCTTTAAGGGATTTGACACATCTGACCAACTGAAATAACATCATTTAGTGATACTACTTGAAGACCTTCATTAAATCCCCAGACGTTCTTCATTCTGGAATTCTATCCACAACAAAATCCTTAAGTGGGAAAAACTTCACGTTCTACAAACCTACAAGGAGGTGGTCAATTGGTACACCTTAGGCATTTTCCAGTTTCACAAGGGGTGCCTCAAGGTTGTTTTCTAGCACCACTTGTCTTTCTCCTCAACCTCATTGACAAACTAGATTGTACCTCTTGAGTTACTCTCTTGATTTTCAGCATTCATTCAATGTAACAATTCATGATCTCAGTATGCAAAGGTTAAAGACCAACAACAGCACCAACAAATGAAGAAAAAAACAACAACAAAAAATTAACAAACAAATAAGCAAACAAAAACCATAATGAAATCACCAGTTTAGATGATAAAATGAACTATTGATAAACATAATTAAAAATTGTGTTGCTGTAAGAAAGTATTACATAATATAAAATGATTTTTACGGTTATGGTAAACATGAATTTTGATGATGAATTTCATGATAATAAAGAAGCCCTTGAGTCATTCCAGGTTGTTTATCACGCAGTAAAAGCATTTTACCTTCATCTTTTTACATTTTCTGTTGATGTCAGCAGGTATGACTCCATTGTCCCATTCTGTTCTGAGCAAGAAGCTGGACATGTTCAAGTTTTTACTGAAGATGGGAGCAAATATCAACACCCAAGACGCTCTGGGGAGAACTCCACTCTGTTTGGCTGCTTACGAGGTAAACCTAAATCATTTAATTTTTAGCACCTCTGGCCCAAATGGGCCCGATGAGCTTATGCTGTGCCATGGCGTCCGTTTTTCATTGTCCATCCTCAATTTTAAAATGCCTCCTCTTTATCATCTTTGCTTTATATGATAGGGCTATTTTTTAAATTTTTGTTGTTGTTATGTTTCATCTTGTAGAGCTAAATGAGATACGTAGGGAGTTCATGCAACCTAGCTGAACAATGTTTTTGTAAAATCAGGAATATGGGGATACAGCTGTATATTCTCTATAGGGAAGCTGGAAGAAACCTTGTCTCATCGTCTTCCCCAGTATCATATCTACGCATGGGATAACCTGGGCAGTGTGGCAGGAAGGTGGTCCTGTACTGCCTAACATTGTATTGGCGTTAGAGAGAATTAACGCATCTTCTGTGGGCATCGCATGGCTATAAGCTCTATGGAAATGAGATTATAATCTAGAAGTCAGTAGGTTAAACCTGACCTCATTCGATAATCAGATATACCACTTCTAACTGAAATAAAATCATAGGTTTTCTCTGAAATTATACCAGGTTTCAGAAATACTCAGGAATAAAATCACTTAAATCAAGACAAGAAGGATAGGTGATGTGTGCATAGTCATGTGCGAGTAGCAAAAATAGACCTTGACTTTATTTTTTGGAGTCGATCAGGGATTATTTTTTAAAACCCCTTTTTCATCTTTGAAAATTGATAGCCATTTGTGTTCATCTTTTATTCCTTTCCACTTAAGATAGACCATGCACTAAAAGAAAAACAATTACCAATCAATTTCTTATATGAGGAGGAGGAGGAGTTATTTTTAATTCATTTGTGTTGCGATATCACTAGCTTGTGACCTTTCATACGGTCAGGTTCATGATGTGTGCCGTTATCATGGAAGTGAGGGAAATTGAAAGAGCTACCCAGAAATGGGATTCGTGTGGGAGAAGAGGGGGGGGGGGGATATCAATTAATTATTTCTGCTTTTAGCTTTCATGTTGATAAGCAGAGGTTTTTTCCCTTCGAATAAATCAGTAGATAAGAGATTATCTTGTCCCGAAATTCAGATTTCTCTTATTGGCCTTCAGAGATGATACATACTTCAAGTGCATCTGATTCTGATTCTGTGCAGGTGTAGTTTTTATTTTTTGAAGCTGAATCTGTACATGAATATTGAGCGCTTACAAAATTGTAAAATTGATAAATATAACATTAATATAATTCAATGAATATAAATTTAGTGTAGTGGTAAAGTAGTGTTCTTATTTTAGAGATTTAGAAATCAAGATTGTAATGTATATTTATGTATCTCAATATATGATCTCATCTCTAACAGCCAGTAAAACAAGATAAGCAATCAACAGTAAACCTTTGTTCACAAATAGAACAGTATAAAGTGAAAATGTCAAGTTAGATTTAGAAATATTATATGCATGCATTTGCAACAAGGCACCTGACGTACAAATTACAATACCTGTATTTCACATATTTTGCTACAGTGGGTTTTTGAGGCTCTGTATGTTAATTTTCAACTAGGATTAAGTGACTTTAAATGCTTGAATAATTTATAGGTGTATTTTCTTCCACCGTCTATTGTGTGTATTACAGGGCTGGTATGAAGGTGTTGTATGCCTGCTACGTCACGGAGCTAAGCAAACGATAGTGGACAAGAGTGGCAGACTACCTCTCCATGCAGCAACATGTGACAAGGAATCCAGGTAATAGATATTAACATGAATAATTTTGTTTACTCAGGGAAGGATCGTCAGGATCAGTGCTGTTGTTCATGCAGCCCTGCAATTAATTATTACCTAGTAATAATTGCCAGGTACCCGTCTACACCTGGGAGGGGAGCAGCAAAATTAGATTAATATGTTGCTAAAGGACTTCAGTACTGCTCTGGAAGTGAGTCACTACCTGGTCGGATTATTCACTTAATCGCACTGTGGGCTGATAACAGTTGCTGGAGTTAAATTGTGTAAGTAATTTACTAAAGCTCTATGAAAGCATATAGGGACATGATATCTTAATGTGATATTTAATGCATATTAACATCATCGCAATGATATTAATTATTACCTATACAAGGTAATTTAACCATGCACTTAAAATGCATATTGCCCGGTCCACAAAGTGGCGGTTCCAAGCCGGCAATATTCCCTGATATTATCACTCTGCTGGGTTTCACCTTTTACTTCATGTACAAAAATTGCAGTCAATATTGAGCCCAATACGTGTATTTTCCCCATTTAATATCCTGAACCTTCCAAGCAGCTGAATCACCTAAAAGTTTGAGCACACTATCATGTGGCGCTTTTAGCAGGGTAAAGTAACCGTACAGTAGCCTTTCCTGATTCACAAAGGGATAGGTATTAATTATAATATAGACTGGCTTATGTTTCAGAAGATACAAGGATTTAAGCTGAAATCATATTGACCTCGTCAAGGGCAATTTTTCCTGCTAACTCCCTCAAGACCAAACAGTCTATAAACTCAATATTATATAAATGTCATTCAGACACAAAGATGAAAATCACTTGAAAAAAATTATTGATATGCTGCATTGAGGTAATATGAAATCATCATAGTGCACTTCATATTTCTGTTTCTGTAAAACACAGATAGTGAGTAACACATAGGGTCCATTGTTATCTGCAGCTATGTTTCTAACCCCCTAAATCATTGCTATCTTTTTCTCTTTCTCTCACTTTTTGCCATTCATTTTCATACATTTATTTTGTTGCTGCTATTCATTGAGGTATCTGAAAGTCTCACATGTAAACAGGGCTTAAACTTTGCTTTCATCATTCAATATGGATGTCCATGTACATGTATGGCTCGGACAGAGTATTCATTGATTTTTTAATCTGGGTCATATTGAGTAGAGCAGAGATTGAGTAATCACTGAGAATCGATCGATGCAATCAAATGTCCGCAGTTCCACCTAATTCCAGCAAATTGCTTGAGAGGTCAATCCAAAATTCCAGGGTCACATTTGTAGTCTCCCAGATAGAACAATGATAATAAGGATAGTGTTTTTTTTTTTAGAGTAGTTGTGTTTTGTTCATATGGTCACTCCTGGTGCTCCATTATTATATAGGTGCCCTATTTCCAGAATTCCAGATTTTTCTTCAAAATTAAAGTGGTTCTGGAAAAACAGAGAATAATTTCTGTCTTTCAGAAGGTCTCTTTTTCTCTGATCCTGTAAGGCAGTTAGTTAAACATGTATCTATGTATGAGTAAATGAATTTATAGTTCTTTAAAAGGCATATTTACATGCATTGAAACTGTTTTTGTATATTCTGGAAGCACAAAATCCTTGTGGCTTTAGGTGGTGCTGACCTCTGAACCCCAACCAGGGGCCCTCCATCGGGGCCCCTTTGCCCCCTACCCCTACCCCCTCCCTCCAGCCAAGCTTTGCATAAAGTTCAGGAAATGTGTGTGACTTTCACTGGCATCTCTGATTATTGCTCCAGTTTCACTCTGGCTTTATCATGGATGCCATTACAATTTAAGGGATGATATCTGGCCAGGCATGTCAAAGAAAGATAAACTCTGAGTCAACTAATTCTCCCTAAAAAACAACTGGTAGATAAATCCAGTCATTTTTCTGTGGGCATTTTTTTACAGGGATTCCAATTTTCAGGCAATTGCCTGAATTCAGGCCCTGGCAAGATATTTTCAGACCATGGATTAGGCTTTTTTGTATACAAAATAACTCTTTCTAGGTGATTTTCAGCCCTCTGAAGGTAGGGAACCACACAATTGCATACAAGAAACGAAAAGGCAGCTTTCTCTATTTTTATCAAGCAGTTTTCAGATTTATGCACGATCCATTCTCAGCGCCGAAGAGGATACATATCAATCAGATCATTTCCTTGGCTGGTTTGTTCAGACCAGTGCACAGATTTCAAGCCATGCATTTTTGTTTGTTCATTCCTTAATGTTTGTCTTGTGTTGAGAGCTTTGTATGCACCTGCGCAAGAAATCTATATGACACGCTCCTCTGTTCCACGACATTTATTACTCCCATATGCATTCTGGTATCAGCGCACTATATATAGAGCCTCTTTTATGTATGGATTTCTTTTTTTCCAGTAACTACCGTTATTTTCCCAGTGGGCAAACAAAAAGCAGGATCTAAGAGCAATTAGCTCAGGATGCTAGAAATGTAGTGTACAAAAAAATAAGTAGTTGTGGAATTGAAAGGAGAACAAATGTTTAGCTGCTGATTCGGAAATCCAATTTTGCTGTAGAGATTCTGGAAAAATATCTTCTCAACTACTACTACCACTACCACCACCACTACTACTACTACTACTACTACTACTACTGCTGCTGCTGCTGCTGCTGCTGCTGCTGCTACTACTACTACTACTACTACTACTACTACTACTACTACTACTACTACTACAACTAATACTACTACTACTACTACTACTACTACTACTACTACTACTACTACTACGACTACTACTACTACTACTACTACTACTACTACTACTACTACTACGACTACTACTACTACTACGACTACTACTACTACTACGACTACGACTACTACTACGACTACTACTACTACTACTACTACTACTACTACTACTACTACTACTAGTACTACTACGACTACTACTACTACTACTACTACGACTACTACTACTACTACTACTACTACTACTACTAATACTACTTCTAGTACTTCTAGTACTACTGCTTCTTCTGCTACCTGTTCTGCTGCTGCTACAAATCATTATTATCATTAAGAATATTAACAATGATAAACATAGAAACAATATAAAGGAATTATGATTTTTTTTGTTGGATTTTTCTGTTTTTAGAAGGATGATCCATACATATGTCTACACAGTCTTATACAGACAAATGCATGAATATGTCGTCAGTTTGAAGCCACCAGAGCATTAACTGTTATACCGGTACTCGATTTCAAACTTCAATGCCATTCTGGCTCAAAACAGTCAATATAGATAAATAGCCAGTAATATGTAGAAGCATGTCAGGTATTTTCCACACATTTTCATCTCGTTGGCAGAGGAAATTTGTCTCTGTAGGGAGAAAACATTCCTTGCATGAAACTAGGTAAGCTGATTTTAAGAGGTTTACTGTGTTTTGATCGGTCATAATGATCTCTCTTTTTTCACACACAAAATAAAATAAGAAATGCCTCTAAAAATATGAAAGTGAATTTAGCATGTTTTAAATTATGTGCTCACTGATCTGCATTAAATGCTAAAAATAGAAAATGGCATATTTGTAGATGCATGATTGTTCAGATGTATTAAATTCATATTTCATACATGATTTAAATTTGACAATATACTGTCAGTTTTGAGCCAGAAGGGTGTTTACTCATATATACTTAATTCACCTCTGAACAGACAATGTTCAGACACTGCAAACCATATAGTTTGACACACCATTTAACAAAACTTGAATGATACCAAAATACTGTATCAATAATATGGGATTTTATTGACATACACGTATATATCGATCATGCTAAAGATTCAGTATGATGCTAGATATATTGCTTGCAGCTCTCAGTTTGACTAAAATATAGATATGAAACGAAGACAGTGACGTGCACTGTTTTAACATATATGTAAAGCTAAACTCTTCTTGTGCTATCACGCAAAATGCATCATTAGTGTAAAGGATGTGAAGATGACAAAGGAAGAAATGTTGAATAAGTTTCTACAACAAATGAAATCTTCATTTAGTATATGAATGTTTACATGTACATTAAAATTGCATTTTATCTGTCTGCATTTGCAAATCAACAGTCTCAAAGAAAAAAACAGGTGAAGTGAATACACTTATGTGCTACTGATTGCATTCACTTGACAATTTTCAAGTCTTTTCATGTCTTTTCAAGCAATTCGAATTAGATTTATGCTCAATTCAAACACTGCCGTATCCTAGTGACAACGTTGAGATACAAAGAGAAAGAAAAGACACTAAAATATTGATGTGAGATAAGAGGGCTGCTAGAACCCAGCATGAAGCTTGATATATTGCTTGGAGCTCTCAGTTTGACTAGAATATAGATATGAAAGGAGACAGTGACGTGCAAAAAAGACTTGAAGATAGGGAAGGGGTTTCAAAAGAATGCTGTTTTTCTAACAACAGTAATATGTAGAAAAAGTCACGAAAGATGAGGTCATGTAGGCATATGAGTGTAGATCACGATGTTTTATGAAAAATGTTGAAATATTTTTCACAGGAAAACAAAGGATAACAAGAGAGAAAGAGTTTGATGTAAGAAGAGGAGGGGTACATTATGTATGTTTGTAAGAATGTGTATTTTTGCGTAAAATGCATTAATTCCTATATGAATTCCACTTTGCATACATTGGTTGCTGCTATGTTGGGCGAGCCTCTGGCAAGCTTTTTAGATGTCAAGATAAACTTTTCTTAAGAAAACAAATATTCATGAAATGAGAAGGCAGGTCTTTTGCAATCCAGATTCTTTATAAAATGAATCGATATAGAGCTCACATCTATGACTTCTATACATTTGACCTCCTTTGTGATATTTCAGTGATGTAATTCATGAATTTGAACTGATGTTTGATTTGTAAAGCATCTCCGAGAGTGTGGTAGCTTAATGAATTATAAACGGTGTATTACCTTGGAAACAAAAAGGAAATGTTATTCTCATAAATGTCACTCAACTTAAAAAGACTTATAGAAAGACCCTTGGAACCTGGGGAAAAGTCGGTTTCTTAATAACCAGAACTGGAAAATACAATAATAAATCTGGATGAATGGAGTGCTTAATAAGAAATAGCATCTCTAAATAAAATCCTGGGGAAGAAGTTGTCCTACTTCTCCTGTATTTAATGAATTCGTTCATAGTTTGATGAAGAAAAAAGAAAAAGGCAATAGAAAGAAAAAAAGGATAGAGATTGGGGAAATAAAGGAAGGGTGATAGAGACAGGTGAACAAACTTTTATATTTGAAATGTAGAATTATGAAATGCTATAACAGGAAGCATTATGTCCACCTGCCCCTCAGGGAATTAATTCTAATTTGTGAAAATTTCACTCAGCTGGAGCTCATTTTGTTGAAATCTCAAGCCACCAATTTGCTGTCAGAGAGAATCCTACTTATGACTCTTTATTTTGGCAATTTGCCCAAATAACCAATTTAAGTTTTAAATGTGTATTCACTCTTCCTTTGTAATACATTGCCACAATTTTTTCGCAATATTCGTGTTGTCTTTTGTTGATGTATACCGGTATTCACTTGTTCTTACTGCCTTTTCCACTGTGCCTTGATCACATTCCTAATGTAGAGTTGAAGCTTTACAAATGGGTGGAATGATTTTACCTGACAAAACGTTTCGTACAGTGCATTGTGAGATGAATGATGAATATATGAACAGTCAAAGCTGCATTTAAAGACTGCTCTTAGGAAACAAAACAGAAGTCTTTATAGACAGGAGGTCTTTATGTACAGGTTCAACACGTTCCTGTGTTATGTTTGAATTACCAACTTAATCAGGGAAACAGAAAATATGGTCTCTATATTTATTATTAATGCACGTAGTTGCTAAATTTCACTGTAATTGAAATTGCATAAAAAGAGCAAAGGCCTATTAAACAGCTTGGATAAGTTTTTGGGTATTTACTTCTAAGGACCACCTTTCTTTATTCCTTGATCGGTCTTTATGTAAAGGTGTAACTGTACTATCTTTATTTGCAGTCATGAGAAATTATCATGCTGACTCTTGTCTGTGACATGCATTTGTTTTATTTCGATTAGATATTGGCAATGCTCTTCTTTTCAATATTACTTCACACAATCTTGACAAACTTCAACATGCTCAGAATGCAGCTGCCAGGGTTTTATCAGGGACTTATATATGATCACATTTCTCCTGTTTTCAAAAACTGCACTGGTTGCCAATCCACAAGCACATAGAATTTAAAATCCTTTTCCTCACATGGAAGGCTGTAAATGGATTGGCACCAAGCTATTTACAAAACCTTGTTATGCCTTATACACCAGCTCGTAGTCTAAGATCATCACACCAGCATCTTCTTAAGATCCCCAAGACACGAGTAGCCTGTGGTGAAAGGGCCTTTTCAGCTGCAGCACCTTATCTTTGGAATAATTTACCATTTAATTTGAGAATCATAACTTCCTTAGAGACCTTTAAATCCAAGCTGAAATCTCTTTTTTAAAAACACAGTACCTGTACTTGGCACAATGACAGCCATGCAAACTCTCTTATTCTTTCTATTTTTCTTGTGCGCCTCGAAAAAGAATTGTCTAGATAGACAGAGTGATAGCTCAGTCGGTAGAGCAGTGGTCTCGTAATCCGGTGAAACCAAGTCGATGCGCTAGTGCCCTTTGGTAAGGCATTAATCCTCATTACCAGGTCCCTCGGAGAGGACCTAAAGCCGTCGGCCGTCCAGTTGTTTACTAAAAAGTATTTATGCTTTCTTAGCAGTCAGGTAAAATAACCACCACCACAACAACAAACATAACATATAAATGCCTATTATTATTATTATTATTATCTTCTGATTCCTCTTGCATCCAGAACCCTGTCGGCTCTCCTGCAGTCACTGAGCATCAACGACATCGACAAACCAGACAATGAGGGCATGACTGCACTCCATTGGGCGGCCTTTCATAACCGACCGGAGCACATCCAGCTTCTCATGCTACGAGGGGGTGACATCTATCAGACAGACATCGATGAGAAGACACCGCTCCATTGGGCAAGTCAGGTATGTCATTTTGCAGTTGTGACAGTTGCTCTGTTATCAATTTCTAATGCTGCCCAATATTCTTACTGCAATATTGGTTCTGGTTCTAGTTCTGTTTCTGATTCTGGTAGGCTATTGTATAAACTCCTCAGCTGAGATGTAACATGCAGGCGCAGTCGACTGAGCAGAGTACTTAATTTCTAAAGTGGGCTCTAGCAATTAATTCGCCCATGTTGAGCTTTTGTAAGTTATCTTTAAAGCTAGCTCCAAAGGTGGGGACATTTCTAGCATAGGTCGGGAGAAAATTCCATTCGGGGAGTGTCCTAGGATATAGGGAGTGTTTATAAAAGTCCTTTACAGCAGATAACTTCTTGAATGATACTGAAGAGCGTATTCTTGTAGACGGCATATGATAACTAATCCTGACCTTGACCTAAAAGCGCAATCAACCCTCACCCAACCCCTAACCCTATATCTCTCACAAAACACAACCCAGACAATGTCTCTGTCGTGCTTTTCTACACTAGCCGCATTTATAAATTCAACCCTGGACCTAACTTGATACCCTAAACATAACTTAAACCCATTCCCTACCAACCCTATACTTTATATGAAATCAAGCCACAAGCAACCCATCTGCTATCTGCAAAAAGATTATATTGTCAATGGCAGTAAAGGCATTCTTGCATATCACCATGTCATTGCATATTGCATGTTGAAAAAAAAGGCTTTGTCTCTTTATTCCATTGGCTCTAAGGTCTTTTTCATATATTTTACTTTGCCGATAGAAAAGCCAGTTAAGTAGTTTCTCTGTCATCATTTGCACTGAAAATAGCTTTAATCAACTCATAAAATGCAATATTTCAAAGATAATTCTCAGTAAGACTCTTATCTGTTATCATTTGTAATGGAAATAGCTTGAGTCAATTCATAAAATGCAATATTTCAAAGATTATTCTCAGTCAGACTCAAAATGGTTCTTGTATAGAGCTTATATCTGTCAGCCTTGACACTTCTTGCTCTTATTACCATGTCTTTAGCGTGGCTGCCATTGCGCTGCTCTAGCATTTTAAGGAATTAATTCCTGCCAGGTACCCATTTACATCACCTGGGTTGAGTGTAGCAAATGTATATCACTGTCTTGTTAAAGGACATTATTGCCGCGGCGGGACTTGAACTGCGGGCCTTGTGATCCACAGTCCGGTGTCGTATTCACTCGACCAGGGGGGCATTTCACAAAGCATTTTTTCAATAACAAATGACAAAAATCAGTGACAAATCTGCTGATAACCAATCAGAAGCTAGGATTTCAATAGCTTATAACAAAAACTGTCAATTGTCACTGATGAAAAGTTTTGTGAAACGCCCCTGAGGACACTTCTACTATATCTAAGGAAGATGTGAAACTCTTCCCTTTTCCCTCCTCTCCTCTTTCTCTCTGTCTATCTTCGTCTATCTCTGACGCTCTTCTCTATTTCTTTTTAATTTTATCCAATTTGAGTATTGATATTAATAAATGATTTGGCTGACATGCCTTATTTAGGTTTGAATCAGTCCCACATGTCATTATCCATGTACATTGTATTTTATCTCCATTTATTTAGGGTATTGTGGTTTTATAATGGGTTCAATTAAATCCTCATCAACAAAACTATTCTAGATTGCCTACATTCTAGAACCCATTTCTTAATCTAATTTTAAACATAGTCAGAGACAACTTAATCAACCTTTCAGAATTCAGTTTCTTTCCACGTGCAGTGCTGCTCTGTTTCTCTCTTACCCTACATTTATAAGTATAGTTCAGTTCAGGATAAGACTGCTCTCAGTCAGTGCTGCAGCCCAATTGTTCACTTTTTATGATCTCAAAACTCTTTCAGGCGAGACTAGTATATTGAAAAAAATTCTTTAACAAGGCTGTGTAAAATTTCATCAGCAGTATATACATGGCACAATGAGAAGATAAACTTCTATTAGCCAGGACTTGAAAATTGATTTTTGCACATGAATAGCCTGCATGCTGCTACAGTTTATTCACTTTTCACCTATAGAATCAAAATTCCAGGTCTATTTATGGAATTTATTGCTATGTCGGTTTTTTGTTGAGTAACTAGTGCTCGATCTGTTCAATTTGAAAGCATGTGTATCCTCCTCACTTCAGGTTTTAAGATTCAAGATTCAAATTTGATTGTCCACGTTAAAAAAACCCAGAAATTTGGCCTCCACTGGCAAAATTAAGATAACAATAAATAACATAAGAATACATGAATGTGCACAGAAGGAAAACATCAATTAGATTTACAAACAAATTTGAATACAAATGTATGTTAAAAGTAAAGACCTACTCTAAACTTTAAGAGGAGGTAGCAGAGTAAGATGATAGACTGAAAAGGAATGAACTAAGAAGAGCAAGAAAGAACAAGAATGGAGGTGGGGGCAGACATAAAATGGTTCTTGTATAGAACTTACATGTATATCTGTCAGCCTTGACACTTCTTGCTCTTATTACCATGTCTTTAGCGTGGCTGCCATTGCGCTGCTCTAGCATTTTAAGGAATTAATTCCTGCCAGGTACCCATTTACATCACCTGGGTTGAGTGTAGCAAATGTATATCACTGTCTTGTTAAAGGACATTATTGCCGCGGCGGGACTTGAACTGCGGGCCTTGTGATCCACAGTCCGGTGTCGTATTCACTCGACCAGGGGGCATTTCACAAAGCATTTTTTCAATAACAAATGACAAAAATCAGTGACAAATCTGCTGATAACCAATCAGAAGCTAGGATTTCAATAGCTTATAACAAAAACTGTCAATTGTCACTGATGAAAAGTTTTGTGAAACGCCCCTGAGGACACTTCTACTATATCTAAGGAAGATGTGAAACTCTTCCCTTTTCCCTCCTCTCCTCTTTCTCTCTGTCTATCTTCGTCTATCTCTGACGCTCTTCTCTATTTCTTTTTAATTTTATCCAATTTGAGTATTGATATTAATAAATGATTTGGCTGACATGCCTTATTTAGGTTTGAATCAGTCCCACATGTCATTATCCATGTACATTGTATTTTATCTCCATTTATTTATAGTCAGTAGGGTATTGTGGTTTTATAATGGGTTCAATTAAATCCTCATCAACAAAACTATTCTAGATTGCCTACATTCTAGAACCCATTTCTTAATCTAATTTTAAACATAGTCAGAGACAACTTAATCAACCTTTCAGAATTCAGTTTCTTTCCACGTGCAGTGCTGCTCTGTTTCTCTCTTACCCTACATTTATAAGTATAGTTCAGTTCAGGATAAGACTGCTCTCAGTCAGTGCTGCAGCCCAATTGTTCACTTTTTATGATCTCAAAACTCTTTCAGGCGAGACTAGTATATTGAAAAAAATTCTTTAACAAGGCTGTGTAAAATTTCATCAGCAGTATATACATGGCACAATGAGAAGATAAACTTCTATTAGCCAGGACTTGAAAATTGATTTTTGCACATGAATAGCCTGCATGCTGCTACAGTTTATTCACTTTTCACCTATAGAATCAAAATTCCAGGTCTATTTATGGAATTTATTGCTATGTCGGTTTTTTGTTGAGTAACTAGTGCTCGATCTGTTCAATTTGAAAGCATGTGTATCCTCCTCACTTCAGGTTTTAAGATTCAAGATTCAAATTTGATTGTCCACGTTAAAAAAACCCAGAAATTTGGCCTCCACTGGCAAAATTAAGATAACAATAAATAACATAAGAATACATGAATGTGCACAGAAGGAAAACATCAATTAGATTTACAAACAAATTTGAATACAAATGTATGTTAAAAGTAAAGACCTACTCTAAACTTTAAGAGGAGGTAGCAGAGTAAGATGATAGACTGAAAAGGAATGAACTAAGAAGAGCAAGAAAGAACAAGAATGGAGGTGGGGGCAGACATAAAATGGTTCTTGTATAGAACTTACATGTATATCTGTCAGCCTTGACACTTCTTGCTCTTATTACCATGTCTTTAGCGTGGCTGCCATTGCGCTGCTCTAGCATTTTAAGGAATTAATTCCTGCCAGGTACCCATTTACATCACCTGGGTTGAGTGTAGCAAATGTATATCACTGTCTTGTTAAAGGACATTATTGCCGCGGCGGGACTTGAACTGCGGGCCTTGTGATCCACAGTCCGGTGTCGTATTCACTCGACCAGGGGGGCATTTCACAAAGCATTTTTTCAATAACAAATGACAAAAATCAGTGACAAATCTGCTGATAACCAATCAGAAGCTAGGATTTCAATAGCTTATAACAAAAACTGTCAATTGTCACTGATGAAAAGTTTTGTGAAACGCCCCTGAGGACACTTCTACTATATCTAAGGAAGATGTGAAACTCTTCCCTTTTCCCTCCTCTCCTCTTTCTCTCTGTCTATCTTCGTCTATCTCTGACGCTCTTCTCTATTTCTTTTTAATTTTATCCAATTTGAGTATTGATATTAATAAATGATTTGGCTGACATGCCTTATTTAGGTTTGAATCAGTCCCACATGTCATTATCCATGTACATTGTATTTTATCTCCATTTATTTATAGTCAGTAGGGTATTGTGGTTTTATAATGGGTTCAATTAAATCCTCATCAACAAAACTATTCTAGATTGCCTACATTCTAGAACCCATTTCTTAATCTAATTTTAAACATAGTCAGAGACAACTTAATCAACCTTTCAGAATTCAGTTTCTTTCCACGTGCAGTGCTGCTCTGTTTCTCTCTTACCCTACATTTATAAGTATAGTTCAGTTCAGGATAAGACTGCTCTCAGTCAGTGCTGCAGCCCAATTGTTCACTTTTTATGATCTCAAAACTCTTTCAGGCGAGACTAGTATATTGAAAAAAATTCTTTAACAAGGCTGTGTAAAATTTCATCAGCAGTATATACATGGCACAATGAGAAGATAAACTTCTATTAGCCAGGACTTGAAAATTGATTTTTGCACATGAATAGCCTGCATGCTGCTACAGTTTATTCACTTTTCACCTATAGAA